CAACCCGGAGACCAACGCCTGGGAGTGCGGGCAGCACTGCTACACCATCCAGGACGGAGCCCTGGGTGAGTTGGGGGGCTGGCGGCACCGGGGAGGGGGGTACAGCCATGCCCCCATCCCGGCTCGCCCCTCACCGCTGCGCTCCTCCCAGCCGGCTTCCAGCAGATCTACCTGGAGCCACTGCTCAAATTCCACATCAGCCTGAAGAAGCTGCAGCTGCACGAGGCCGAGTACGTCCTGCTCCAGGCCATGCTGCTCTTCTCGCCAGGTAGGGACTGCGGTGGTGGCGGGGGGGGTTCCCTCGGCCCTGCTGACAGCCCACCCTGCGCCCCTAGACCACGCTGACATCGCCCAGCGGAATGTCATCGACCAGTTCCAGGAGAAGGTGGCCCTGACACTCAAGAGCTACATCGACCACCAGCACCCCATGCCCGAGGGCAGGTACGCGCCCGGGGGGGGGCTGGCTCGGCCACGGTCCCCTCTGCCGCAGGGGTCCGAGCCGAGTGTCCTGTCTGTGTCACCCCCTCGAGGTTTCTCTACGCAAAGCTGCTGCTGCTGCTGACCGAGCTGCAGACGCTGAAGGTGGAGAACACGCGTCAGATCCTCCACATCCAGGACCTGTCCTCCATGACGCCACTGCTCTCCGAAATCATCAGCTAGAGCCCACGCCGGCAGTGCCTGCACCGTGCCCTGGCCCCCCGACCACGAGCACCGGGGCCCACCGGCTACCAGCACACTTTACAGGGCAGAGTAAAGCTCCTTTATTTTTTCAGGCTCCGCAGGTGCGTGCGCCCAGAGCCACCCACTGCGCCGCTGGAGGGAAACTGAGGCAGAGCAGGGGTGGGAGCAGAGGGAAGCGCGGCGCGGGGCCGATGGAGGCCCCCAGCCCCGGGCAGCAGCCACTCCTCAGCCCAAAGGCGCAAACAGGCACCACAGACTGTCACACAGTGTCCCCTGGCCTCCAGGGACCAGCTCCTCTCTCCACGGGCTCCCCCAGCACCACGGCACAAGAACGGGGCCCAGCCGGTGACCCCACGGCACGGCACGGCGCGGTGCGGCGGGGCGGCTCCCTGAGCAGGACGGTGGCATGTGCCGCCCACCCCCACAGCCCCTCAGCCCACGATGACGCTGAAGCCGCAGTGGAAACGGTTCTTCCAGTGGTTGAGGAAGGCGCCCAGAGCCAGGGTGACGGGCAGGGGGGGCAGCTTCTTCTCCAGCACCCCTCCAACGCTCCAGTTACTGTCCAGGAGCCCTGCGGGGTCGGGGGGGGGACGGGGTGAGACCACGGCCAGTGCTGCGGCTGCCGGGCGCCGGCGTGGCTCCTCGCTCACCTCTGAAGACCATGTTGGCTTGTGGCAGGTTGAGCTGGTAGCCAAAGGCGAAGGTGGTGTCCTGCAGCCGCGTGTTGGCCTCCAGCTCCACCCCAACCTGCACCTGGGGAGGGGAAAAACGTGAGGTCCCGGGGGTGACAGGCACCGGCGGGGGGACAGGGACATGCAGGGGATGCTCGCCTGCTCGTTGGCTCGGTGGTAGTAGCTGGCGTGGGCGCCGCCGTACCCCACGTTCAGCGTCGCCACCCACTTCAGAGCTGGAAGAGAGAAGAAAAGTGGAGGGCGAGGGGAGCCAGGGCACCTCCTCGGGGCCAGCACAGGGCGGGGGACCCCCAGGGCTGCGCCCGGGGCCCCCTCAAGCGTGGGACGCCCGCGTACCCGTGTATTTGCCCGCCAGCGTGAGGATGGCTCCTTCCTCCCCCGGCCGCCGGTGGTAAACCATTTCCCCGCCCAGTACCAGGCGGGAGGTGACGCTCTGGAGGAAATGGGCCACCAGGATCACTGCGGGGACAGCATGGCTCTCAGCGCGTGGCCCCCCCAGGCCTGGCAGAAAGAGGGGGGGACACGCACCCCGCTCACCGGACTCGCCGAGAAGGTCGGGGTTGCCCAGCGTGAGGGTGGCGGTGCAGTCATCCCCCCGGTACTCGCCGTCGAACTGCCATGTCACGAACTTGGCCTGGTGTGTCTGAAAGGGGACGGGGACCGCAGCAGGTCCTGCCACCATCCCCCACCATGGTCTGGGGGTGACGGAGACACCCCGCACCCCCCTGCCCTGGGGGGGAGGCCCACTCCCACCCGGCCCCACCTGGAAAACAGCTTTGGTGCGGATGCGCTCGGCCACGAGATGCAGCGCCTGGGCATTGAGGCTGCCGCTGTTGTCCATGTCCCCCACCAGTGTGGGGAAGGCCTAGGGATGGCGGGGGGTCAGCTGGGGGGGAGAGGGACACCCCCATCCCCCTGTCCCTGGCTTGAGCCACCCCGGCTGGGACCCCCTCGCCCCACAATTAACCACCACCCACCCTGGTGCCGTTTCAGAGCCTTGTGGCCACCCCAGGGCCACCCACCACCCCAGGGCCACCTCAGGGCTGTCCCAGAGCCACCCTGAGGGTCACCCACCACCCCAGGGCCACCCTGAGGCCACCCATCACCCCAGGGCCACCCTGAGGGTCACCCCCACCCCAGGGCCACCCTGAGGGTCACCCACCACCCCAGGGCCACCCTGAGGGTCACCCACCACCCCAGGGCCACCCTGAGGGTCACCCCCACCCCAGGGCCACCCTGAGGGTCACCCACCATCCCAGGGCCACCCTGAGGGTCACCCATCACCCCAGGGCCACCCTGAGGGTCACCCCCACCCCAGGGCCACCCTGAGGGTCACCCCCACCCCAGGGCCACCCTGAGGGTCACCCATCACCCCAGGGCCACCCTGAGGGTCACCCCCACCCCAGGGCACGGGGGTCTCACCTCGGTGGGGCCGAGCTGCCGGTCCCCCACGAAGGTGGCGTTGAAGTGGTAGCTGGAGGGGCCAAGAGTGCTCATGTGAACCGTGTGCGTCACCTGGGGGACACACACACACACACACAGACACAGCGCGTCGGCGGGGGGCAGGGGGGCGGACCGGGGGTGGCAGCGGCCCCCCCCCCGCAGTGCAACCCCCCCCCCCCCCCCCGGCGGGTCCCTGTTTGCCCCCCTGACCTGGAAGTGGCTGCTCAGGGTCTTGGTGACGATCAGCTTCACGCCCTCCATCTGCTGCGGGAAAACCTCTGGGGGAGAACGGGGACTGAGCGGGGCCACGGCTGCCGCCCCCCACCTCTCCTCCCGGGGCCACCCACAGGCCCCCCCCTTCGCCACCCCCCCCGCCCCCGGGCCCACCTTTGCACTGCCGATGCAGCTCGTCGAAGCTGCCGGGGCTGCCCAGCGGCTGCCCCCGGCGCGGGGCCCGGGGGGCGGCGGGGCCCAGCGCGTTGCCCATGGCCCGGCCCGGCCCTACGGCCGCCCGCCCCCCCCGGCCGCGACCCCCCCGGCCGCCGCCATCGCGGGCGCGGGCGCCGCGAACCGGAAGGGGCTTCGCGAGGTCGCGGCCCGCTCGAAGCCGCCGCCGCCATCGCGGGTGCGGGCAGGCGCTCGCCGCCCATTGGCTGAGCCCGACGGGGGCGGGGCCGCGGCCGCGCCATGAGGCCCCGCCCCCGGCGCCGTTCCGGGGCTGCCGCACTCCGCCCCCCCCCCCCCCCCCCCAGCCCCTCTCCTCCCTCGTGCCCCACGTCCCCCCGTGTCCCTTCCCCGCGCCCCTGGACCCTCCCGGCTGTGTCCCAATTCCCCCCTCGTGTCCCCTCCACACCCCCCGCCCCGTGTCCCCACCACGTCCCCTCCCCGTGTCCCCTCCACATCCCATCTTCCCTGCCCCGTGCCCCCCCCTCGCTCCACACCCCCCTCCTTGCCCCCTGCCCCGTGTCCCTGGACCTTCCCCACTTTTCCGACACCCCCGCCCTGTCCCCTGTCCCTGCTGCCGTCACCAGCAGCTTTCCTGGAAAGGACTGGTGCGGCCAGTGGCTCGGCGGGGAAGGGGCCCCAGTGTCCCCACTGGTTACCCAAAGGACAAAGTGTTTTTTGTCCCCACTGCTGCCCAGGTGCCCTTTGGCCTCGTGTCCCCAAATAGCGCCCGAGCTGGACCCCGGCCTGTCCCCGTGGCGGGGTGTCCCCAGGGTGCCCCCCCCGATGGGTGTCCCCTCCAGGACCCCACGGGGACAGCCCCTGCCCGCCCGGCGCTGAGTCACGCTGTCACGTTGGCGGCCGAGGGTCAGCGATAAGGCGGGCGACGGCCTTTGCCCCACGGGTGCTGGGGCAGGACGGGGTGTGCAGCCCCCCGGGCTGCCCCCCCCCAAGCCGAGACCCTGGGTTGGGGCAACCACCGGGACCCGTGGGGCTGGTGGGTGCTGGAGTGGGGGTGTGGGAGGGTCCCCTGAGGCTGGAGGTCTGCTCTGGGGGCCTCACTATGCCGCAGGGCCACTGCATGCCATGGGGCCACTAGCCAAGACCCCCGGTTTGGCAGCCCAAATCCCTGGGCTGTTGTCACCCACCACCCACGTCCCGCCTGGGGTCATGGGGCGTTGGGGACGCAGGGACAGGACCCAGGGTGTGGGGCCACCCTCGACATGGACAAGGAGGGGCCGTTCCCCGCAGCGACCCTTACCCCCGCCATGTTTACCCAGGCTGTGGTAGGGGCTGGCGCGGCCCCCCTGGCCCCGGGGCGGGAGCTGGCAGGGGGGATATAAGCAGCCCCCGAGGGGCCACCCATAGCCCCGCACCCCCAGAGTCCTGCCCAGGTGAGCAGCAGCCAGCACCTAGCGCCTGGGCAGGATGGGGCTGTGGGGCTGGGATGGGGTGGGATGGGGCTGTGGGGTTGGGGTGGGATGGGGCTGTGGGGCTGGGATGGGGTGGGATGGGGCTGTGGGGTTGGGGTGGGATGGGGCTGTGGGGCTGGGATGGGGTGGGGCTGTGGGGCAGCGATGGAGTGGGAGCAGGATGGCAGGGCTATGGGGCAGGGCTGTGGGGCAGGGATGGGAGGGACCAAGGTTCCATGGGGTGGGATGGGGCAGGGCAGGGGGGGTGCCAGGGGGCAGGAGGGGCTGGGAGGGACCCCGCTGAGCCGTGGGGCGCTGACCTGGCCCCCGCAGACCCCCCGTCCCCCCCGAGATGAAGCTGCTGGCTGCTGCCCTGCTGCTGCTCTGCGCCTGCTGCCTCCAGGCCGCCCTGGTCAGGCGCGAAGCCCCCCCCGAGGAGGCTGCCCCCCCCGAGGAGGCTGCCCCCCCCGAGGAGGCCGCTCCCGTGGACGTCGATGGATTCTTCACCCGTTATTTCCCGTTCTTCTCTGTCTTCATGACCGAGCAGCTGCCCCAGAAGCTGCAGGCGGAGAAGCTGCGCAGCCAGGCTGAGTACGGGGGGGGGGCCGGGATGCGGGGGGTGCCCCTCGGCCACCTCTCACCCCCCTTCACTGGCCATCTCTCCCCAGGGCTTACTTGGACCGGGCCAACAAGCAGCTGGCGCCGCTGGCCCAGGAGCTGCGGAACAACATCGACAGCCTCTTCTCCTCCGTGCTGGAGCTGGGCAAGGGCGAGAGGCAGCCCTGAGCCCCGCCACGGCGGCCTTGCACCCCCGCCCCCCCGTGACAATAAAAGCCGTGGAGCTGCTGCCGTGTCCCTGCTGTCGGGGGGGGGGGGGGGGGGGGCGTGGGCGAGGCGTGGGCGCGACTGAGACCCGACAAACTCAGCTCTGCCAGCGCTAAAGATGGAGGCGCCGGGGCGGTGTCGCGCCCTGCCCGTGCCCCTAGTAAAGATGGCGGCATCCCCCCCCCCCCTTGCCCCGCCCCCGCGTCACGCCCCTAAGCAAGATGGCGGCGCGGGGGACAGGCGCTTCCGCAAGCGTCAGTTCCGCCCCCAGGCAAGATGGGGTTCCGGCGGCGGGGCGATGGCGGAGGAGGCGGCGCGGCGGGCGGTGGCGGAGCTGCCGCTGCTGCGGGCGGCGGCGGGGCCGCGGGACCGGGAGGGCTGGGCGCCGCGGCTGAAGGAGGAGTACCGCGCCCTCATCCAGGTGCGCCGGGGCCGCCGCCCCGGTTCCCCCTTCCCGATCCCCTTCCGGTTCCCCCCCCGCTCACCCCGCTCCCCCCCCCCCAGTACGTGGAGAACAACAAACGCGCCGACAACGACTGGTTCCGCCTGGAGTCCAACGCCGAGGGCACCCGGTGGGTGACCGGGGCGGGGGGGGGGGCGCACCGGACCGGGCTTCCCCTCGCCTCGGGGCCGCTCCGGTGTCCGGGATGGGGGGGCCGGGATTGAGGGGGACACCCCCGCGTGTTGCAGGTGGTTTGGGAAGTGCTGGTACATCCACGAGCTGCTCAAGTACGAGTTCGCCATCGAGTTTGACGTAAGTGTGTGTGGGGAGGGGGTGCCGGGCTGGTGGGGCCCGTGGTTCCGCTGACCCCCGTCTGTGTGTGTGTCCCCCCACCCCCAGATTCCAGTGACCTACCCCTCCACCGCCCCCGAGATCGCCATCCCCGAGCTGGACGGGAAGACGGCCAAGATGTACAGGTGGGGTGAGGGGGTGGGGGGTCCCAGGGGGCGTGGGCGGGGCCCCGGGGGGTTGTGGGGGGGCCCCGGGGCGTTGTGGGGGGGCCCCGGGGCGGCTGACGGCTCCCTCCTCCTCCCAGGGGGGGCAAGATCTGCCTCAGCGACCACTTCAAGCCCCTCTGGGCCAGGAACGTCCCCAAATTTGGCTTGGCCCACCTGATGGCGCTGGGGGTGAGTCTGGGGGTGTCAGGGGGGGTGAGGGTGGGGGGGGGGTGTCCGGGGGGGCCGCTCACCCTCTGTCCCCGCAGCTGGGCCCCTGGCTGGCCGTGGAGATCCCCGACCTGGTTGCCAAAGGCATCATCCAGCACAAGGAGAAGTGAGCGGCCGAAGGGAGGCGGGGGGGTGTGTGTGTGCCCCGCCCCTCACCCCCCGCGCCCCCCCCCCCCCAACGCTCCCCCCGCCCCCCTGCTGCATCGCTGCTGCTCCCCAATAAAATCTTCAGCCCTGGCCTTTTCCTCGCCTGCTGCTCTGGGGTTCCCGCGGCCGGGGGGAGGAGGTGGGGGGGCGCTGCTCTACCCCCAACCCCCGCCCCGGGGTCCGGCCGCCCTGCGCGACCCTACCATAACGCTTTATCGGAGGACGCTGTCGCTTTAAGAAGACCGGGTGCGGCGGCTCCTTTAAGGGAGGACGCCGCTCCGTCTCCATGGTGACGCGGAGGCGGGGCTGCGGCGCCGGAGGGGGCGTGGCGCAGCGTCGGCGCAGGCGCGGCGAGGCGGGCGGGGGCGTGGCGGCGGGGCGGGAGGGACAAAGATGGCGGCGGGCGCTGCGGGAGTTGTTGCCATGGTGGCCCGCGGGAGGTACGGGGGGGGCGGGGGCCGGGGTGCCCCCCGGTACCGGGCGGGGGGGGGGGGGGAACACACACATCGGTACGGCCGGGCCCTTCGCTGCGGCCGGCGCTTGGCTCCGCGGGTCGGGGCTCCCGCTGCACCGCCGGACGCGCCGTCCCTGACCGGAGCCCGGCGGGATCGAGCCGCGCCGCAGCGGCCCCCGCGCAGGGCCCGCACCCCCCGCGCCGCGTGTCCCCGCGGCTCGGCCGACCCCGGGGCAGGCGGGTGGGAGGAAGCCGCGCCCGGCGGTGCCCCGCGCCTCTGCGGCCCCCCCGTTCGGGGAGCCCGTCCTCCGTCGGCGCCGCGGCGGCCGGTGTCGGCGGGGTGCACCCCGGTGACCCGCAGCGTCTCTCCTTGCGTCGCAGGGCCCCCGCTGACGGGACCCTCTGGCCGGCCGCTGCCCGCGGGGGGCTGTGAGCGGTGCTGGCGGGCGGAGGCGCAGCGACAGAGGTGGGTGCGCGCCCGGGAATCCCAGTCGGCCCGGTCCCGTGCCCCTCCGGGCCGTCCCCACCATGCCCCAAGCCTCGGAGCATCGCGCCGGCCGGGCCAGGGACCACGCCGTTGTCGCCTCCCAGCCCAAGGTGGCCGCCAAGCTGCCGAGCGGGCACCGTGCCCTGAGCCAGGAGCGCCACGCCGCCCTGGCCTCCGCTGCCAACGGGCTCTCCCCGGCCCCCAAGCTTCGCCTCCTGCCGCCTCGGCCTGGCCCGCTGGATGACCGCGGCAAGAAGCTGGAGCTGGACCGGGGTCGGGCCTCAAAACGGGGGGAGGCTCTCCGCAGCTCGGCGTGCCGGCGAGGACCCGTGAAGGCGGATCACGCGGTACGGGTGCCCGGCTCTCCCCAGGCGGGCGCCGTGCCGGGCAGCGCCTCCTTCTCCCTGCCTGCCGGGGCCTCGCTGGTGGGGCGCGAGGCGGAGCGCCGGCGGAGCAACCTGGCCCGCTCCAAATCCATCAGCATCGGGGACCTGAGCCAGGGCGGCGGTGGCAGCCGTGCCGAGGACGTGGCGGCGGTGCTGAGCCGGCTGGTGCTGAGGGACTGTGGCCACCAGCTGAGCGCCGGCTCGCTGGCGCTCAGGAGGAGCTCCTCTCTCCGGAGGGTCAACGTCTCCCCAGGGCTGGATGGGAAGCCCGCCGCCCCGCTGCTCTCCGTCCGGCCCGAGGGCTGCCCCAGGACTCGTACTGCCCCCGACCCCCTGTACGCCCACAGCCCCAGCATTCCGGCGCCCGGCAGCCCTGCCGTGGGCAGAGCCCCGACACCCGGCAGGACCGAGGAGAAGACGGCAGCTGTAAGAACCTCAGGACTTGTCCTGCTGACAGGACATGTCCTGGCCCCTGTGTTGCCCCTGGTCGTGAGGCAGCAGCTTTGCTGTCCGGGTCGGTGACGCTGCCGGGGTGGGACAGTGGTGCTGGTCTCACCTCTCCCTGCTCCGTTCCTCCTGGGGGACCCCAGATGCGAAAGGGTTGCGTTCTCTCGACTCTGGGGGTGCTGGGGGCCAGCTGGTACCATGCCCATTTCTGCACCTGCCTTCTCCCCGCTGAGCGGCCGGGCTGTGTCCTCCACTTGCCCTGGGCCACGTGTGGGGATTAGGTGCCCTGAAATCCCGGGGCTGGGCCTGTGCCGGTGGGGGACGGGGACGGGGACATGGCTTGGCCACCATGGCGCATTCCCCACCGGTGGCACGGAGCTGCCCCAGCCCCGCCAAGCCGCCCTGCTCCCCGCATTGCTCTCCTGCACCTCACCGGCATGGCACGGGACTGGCGGGTGTGTTTGCCTCTCTTCTCTGGGCGCCGGCTGTCCCTGAGGTGGCTCTCCTGCTAATTAATCCCCCCGAGATGAGCCTCCAGCAAGGCCCAGAATAGCCGGTGGAAATCGGATCAGCTAATGAGCTGCGGCTTAGCGAGGCAGAGGGGGCCCAGCAACACCGGTGCCACAGTCCCACCCTGGCACCCAGGCGGTGCCGGAGCCATGCCAGGGCTGCTGGGAGCCACGCTGGTGGAGCTGCCGCGCAAGCTGCACCGCACGCTGCTCACCAAGCGGGAGCTGCAGGGCCGCAGCGCCGACATTGCCGAGTCGGTGGTGCACACGGCCGTCATGGGGCTGCTGCTCGTCAGCAGCGAGGTGAAGCTTCCGCAGCCAAGAGGCTGCCTGGCTGTCTGTCTGTCCGTCCGTAGGAAGCTGAGGGGCTGCTGGAAGGGTTTGCTGTGTGGGGGCAGGTCTCACTCCTGTCCCTTTGTGTCCCCACAGACCCATCATACCCTGCTGCTGGGCTCGGGACACGTTGGCCTCAGGAACCTGGGCAACACGGTAAGTGCCTGCTTCCCCCTGTCCCTGTGTCCCCCGAGCCCCCTCGTCTCTGTCCTGGGGTGTGCAAGGGTCCCGGGGTCCCCCTGGCCTTGCAGTGGCTGTAATGAAGCGGTTCCCTCCCTTGGGGGCCGGCACATCAGCCCCTCAGGGGTCCCCCATGCCGCAGCAGGGTATGGTTGGGGGGTGCGAGGGGATGGTGGGGGACATGCCAAGGCCCAGTGGCCCCCCCCAGGGCATCACCGTGCCCCCGCTGCTGTCTCGTCAGTGCTTCATGAACGCCGTGCTGCAGTGCCTGAGCAGCACCAAGCCACTGCGGGACTACTGCCTGCGCCGGGACTTTCAGCAGGAGCAGCCCCCTGGCCCCCGCGCCCCCCAGGAGCTCACTGAAGGTGGGACAGGAGCCCCCCGCAGCTAATCCCCCCCTCAGGTCTTATGTAAGACCCTGCCAGCGCTGACACCCAGCGCGTCCCCCATCCCTGCAGCCTTCGCTGATGTCATCACCGCCCTCTGGCACCCCGACTCCTCCGAGGCCATCAACCCTGGGCGCTTCAAGGCCATCTTTCAGAAATACGTCCCCTCCTTCACTGGATACAGGTGAGGCTTTGCCCTGCCCCTGCCCTGGGAGACCCCCGGCAGCCTCCCCGGGAGTCTGGGGGCAGTGGTGGGTGCGATGGGTCCGTCTCTCCGCAGCCAGCAGGACGCACAGGAGTTCCTCAAGTTTTTCATGGACCGGCTGCACGTGGAGATCAACCGCAAGGGCCGCAGGACCCCCAGCATCCTCTCGGACACCCGGCGGGGCCCCGCGCTGGAGGACCCAGAGACGCTGAGGTGACGGGGAGAGGAGTTCTGGGGGGTTGGTTGGCCCGGGCAGGGGGGGCGAGCGCTGGCCATGGGGACGCAGCCTGACCCCCCCACACCTTTCACCACAGTGACGACGAACGCGCCAACCAGATGTGGAAGCGATACCTGGAGAGGGAGGACAGCAAGATTGTGGGTGAGCGCTGCTGGGTGGGGGTGACTTCCTCTGGACCCCCAAACCGCTCTGGGTGACCCTCTCCGCCCAGCCTCACACCCCTCTCGCCCCCAGACCTCTTTGTGGGGCAGCTGAAGAGCTGCCTCAAGTGCCAGGCGTGCGGCTACCGCTCCACCACCTTCGAGGTCTTCTGTGATCTCTCCCTGCCCATCCCAAAGGTAGGGACGGGGCAGAGCCCCCCGGCCACCCCCCTTTTTCCCCCCCCAGCCACCCCCTGGTCTCCCACCTGACCCTCTCCCCCTGCAGAAAAGCTTTGCTGGTGGGAAGGTCTCGCTCCACGACTGCTTCAGCCTCTTCACCAAGGAGGAGGAGCTGGACTCGGAGAATGCCCCGGTAAGAGGGTTGGGGTGGTCTTGGCACCCCGGGTTCTGCAGCCCCGGACCCCTCTCACCGGCGCCGTGCCACCGGCAGGTCTGTGACAAGTGCCGGCAGCGGACACGGAGCACAAAGAAGCTGACCATCCAGCGCTTCCCCCGCATCCTAGTGCTCCGTATCCTTTTGGGACCGGAGGGTGGGGGGCCAGGGGAGATGCCTGGGACCCCTGGTGCTGCCGGTGCTCGTGGTGAAGGGGAGGGGGGTGTCCCTGCAGCCCCTTGGGGGCCACGTTTCCCTTGACCCTGCCCAGACCTGAACCGGTTCTCCACCACCCGCTACTCCATCAAGAAGTGCTCTGTCTTCGTGGACTTCCCCCTGCAGCAGCTCAACCTGCGGGAGTTTGCCAGCGAGAAGGCAGGTGAGGTGCGGCGGGGATGGAGGGGGACGAGGCGGCAGGGGACACGCGCACACACGCGCACACACACACACAGTGCTGAGCGCGGCCTCCTGCCGCAGGCAGCCCCATCTACAGCCTCTACGCCCTCTGCAACCACTCGGGCAGCGTCCACTACGGCCACTACACTGCGTTCTGCCGGGACCCGGCCGGCTGGCGTGTCTACAATGACTCCCGGTAGGTGCCCCCCCCCCCCACCCCCCCCTGCACCCACCCCCCACCTTGCCCGTGCCCCCGCTGCTGCTGGGGTGGGCACGGGCTGAGGGTGCTGCCGCAGCGTCTCGCCCATCAGCGAGAACCAGGTGCCATCCAGCGAGGGCTACGTCCTCTTCTACGAGCTCGAGGAGCCCCCGGGCAGGAGGCCCTGAGCCGCCCCGGACCCCCCGGCCCCCATAGCCCTCCGGCCCCCCGCCCCGGGCCGTGGGTGGAGGGAGGGTGGCCACAGCCCACGTTGCCCCGGGTGGGGCTTTTGTGAATAAATTTATTAAAAAAAAAAACCAACCCAAAAGGCGAAGTTTG